GGTGGGGGGTGGGGATGGGATGAAGCTCAGGACTAAGGCCCAGGAAGCTTGGTAGAGGTGTCTTGGGGTTATGACGTGAGAACTTCAGAAATAACATAAGGGGCGGGTTTTTTGGGGGGCATGGATCAGAGGGCAAAGCAGGATCGGCGGAGTGGGGGGAAAAATGGGCGGGTGACTGAAAGGAAAGGTGGCTCTCACCCGCGCCGCTCCCGGGTCTGTGAAAGCCCATGATCCGGTTAATGCGCTGTTCGGAGTTCATGAGCAGCTTTCTCCGTCGCAGCTCGGCCCGACGCTGAGAAGCCGACAAGCCTGAACCCGCAGGAGACCCCGGGCGATCCCCGTCGTCGGTAGGGACGTTCACGGACTCCATCCACTCCTGCATTCTGGAAGGAGTGGCGGTGATGGTGGTGGTAGTGGCACCGCAACGCCGATGACTTCAGTCCAGCCGCGGGGCTCGTGTCCCACCTCCCACCGTAGGCCCGCCCAACGAGCGCGATTCCCGAGACTGTGGGTGAAGTCAGCGCGCGCCGCCCAATTGGACGAAGAGCAGGCCTCTGCGCCGCCATCTTGGATGAGGGCAGTAGTGATGCCTCAACAGCCTCTTCGCCTTGGCTGACCTCTAAATGCTCCCCTTTCCCGCCACTGGATCTCTTTTTGGGTTCAATCGGAAGTGAAGAAAACTGGCATTTAGCCTGACGAACGGGAAACGAAAGGGATTAGGGCGTAAACTCATCCTACATTCCAAAATGGGTGCCAGGAAGTAAAATGAAGATTGCAGAGGCAGGCACGCCTTTCAAGTGATATTCTGTGTCTTCGCTTTTATAAAACAAGGGAATCCGTAATTGGGGAGTGACGCTTTGGGGAGCACTCAGATGGTTTATAGTGTTGATGCGGATGCCTCAAACAGCACTTCTCCCAAATAACACGCCTGGTTGTTCCCTGCCTTTCTCACTTTGGAGAATTCGAGTCAGCTCATGTCTGTAATCAAGGATTAAAAGGAAACAGAACCATAATTTAGGAACTGAAAGGTATAACCGCGGACATATACAAGAATCAACAAGCCTCTTACTTTTACCATTCTTTTCTCCTTTAATAACAAAGTTGGGCACATACAATTCCAAGATAAACAACACATTTTTTCCATTTGTGTAGCGTAGTGGTTACGAGTCCCGGCTGCCAATCTCAAGGTCAGCAGTTCGAAACTACCTGCATTTTCACGGGAGAAAGATGATGCATTCTGCTCCTGTAAAGATTTACAGTCTCTGAAACCTTGTGCAGGGTCACTATGAGTCAGAACAGAACCGACTCCATGGTACTTAACCACAACCACCCATGCTGAGTCTATGCAAGCCTATAAAAGGAGCTCTGGTAGCGTAGGGTTACAAATTGGCCCGCTAATCTCAAGGTCAGCTGTTGGAAACTACCAGCCATTCCAGGAAAGAAAGATGAGGCTTTCTGCTCCCATAAAGATTTACAGCCTCGGAAACATTATACAGGGTTTGAGTCGGAACTGACTCCATGGCACACCACCACCACCACCACCATGCAAGCCTATGCAGGAAGCATCAATGCATTTGAATTATGGTGTTGATGAAGAATGTTGAAAGCACTAGGGACTGCCAGAAGAATTAACAAATCTGCTTTGAAAGAAGTACAGCCCATTCAAATGCTCCTTACAGGAGAGGATAATGAAACACTGGACATGTCATTATCAGGAGGGACCAATCTCCAGAGAAGGACATCATGCTTGTAAAGAGTCAACAAAAAACAGGAAGAACTTAGTGAGGTGGGTTGACAACAGTGCTTGCAAGAATGGGCTCAAACACAGCAAGGATTGTGAGGATGGTGCACTTTCATTCTGTTTTCAATCAGGACAAACAGGATGGCACCCGACACCGGTACAAGCCTGATGAAATGTTCATTTCACTAGGTTGAAGAACTGATGTATGATGACTCTCAGAATTCGAACTGTCAAGAGTTCATATTTATTTCTGAGAAAACTTATTTTCTGTAGGGATTATTAAGTCTATTAATATCTTTCCTAGCTCTTCTCAATGATATATATAAATCTTTGATAAATGATGTGCACACAATCAAAAGAGGGAACAAATTCTTACAGCAAGAATCATTCCCGGACATTGGCTACCCAAAATGGGGGCGGGGGGCTACAAAG